TCATCTGTTCATGTCGTTGTCTTGCAATATTTATTAATACTTTTCTTCATATTACCACGAATAGTGGCATCAACCATTAATTGTCCGAAGTATAACTAATGTTCTAAAATTCGTTAAGCGTTGCGGTTGTTATTTGTTTCAATTGATGCTCAAAATTGTTTGTTCATAAAGGATAATCAAAAATCTTGTATACTCATAAGTGAAGTACCAAAATTAACACACACTTGTGTTTTTGTTTTTGGCTTTTCTGGATAAAAAGAAGCAATGATTATGTTGCTGCTCCTTCCACGCATGAAACTTCACTCTTACATCCTTCACTTCTGATCCACTCTAACACCGAAGAACAATCCTCTCGTCTTACGAAATGCCTTCATAAACAAATAGATTCACAAACCCATATAACCAAATGAACATAACAGCCACACACAAAAATGCCTAATGGAGTACTTAAACCCCCGCATACCTATTTCTCGGGCGATACGATTTTAGTGCATCAGCTTCCCGAGAATTTCTTACGTCTTTGTTCATTCTGACAGAATCGGGCACCACCAGCGTCTCTGCTTTGTTCTCATAAGCATCATATATGAATTCAAGTATTGTATCCTGCGAGGAGAAAGAATTTATCACCATGCTTTCACAGTATACACTAGTTATATAAGTGACAGAATAGAACAGAACATATACCAGAGGTTTAGAAGCATTAAGCCAGTGGTACATAGGCTCACACCGGAACCATGTCATTTGCCTTTTTGCAAAGTTTCTGTGCATCAACCAAACAAAGTCTATTGATTTTAGCTCAACCTTCAGATCAGTTGTCAGGATAAAATGTAACAAGATTAAAACGTTATTAAAACACTGATGACGAAGTACTTCATTTAAAGCGATAAGAAATGATAACATGGTTTCTTTGAATTTACGGAAGAAAAATAGTGAAGTAATGAATTCGCGCAAGAGAAAAGTAATTTGGGACTTTGATTTACTCATGTAATTTCAATCACTATTTTGAAGCTTATATACACTAGATATTTCAAGTCTATGTAGAGGAATCACCTGGATGCTTGCTGAAATTTGTTCAAAAACCCATAAAATTCTCCAGGGGAACTTACACCTCCTTGTTGACGACATTTTGATAGATATTCCATGGCCTGAAAACGAGGAATCATATTTCCATTGCTGATCCAAATTGCTATCGAAGTACAAAATGATATAAACAACTCATGAAGTATAGCAATTTTTCAACTAATGGACCTCCTTTCTTATCCAATTTGGTCAATGTGGACGATGATATGCTAACAGTAAGCGTCATATGTCTAAACTGCTATATGTCATGGCATCATGCATTTTGAGAATCAAATCCACTTTATTCACTAAAATGGACATGCTTCATTTAGAGCAGCTACATTCCACTGCAAACACCTTGGCTAATTACAATGATCATGCACTAGATTAACACAAGAAAAGCTTTCTCTTCTCAGTTTGTTACGCACAACCCAATATAGCATATAAAGAATTTACCTGTCTGTATCCAATGGCACGAGTTGCAGAATTTGAGTTTGGAAGCAGACCAATATCAAGAAGCCATCTAGCTTCTGACAAAACTCCATCGGCACCTGAAGTTAAGAGACAATAAGCATCAAGGAAAAACGAACTCAGACGAAATGACAGGCATACATATACAAAACTGTATACGACAGCAGAGAATGCACATTGTTTTTTTTTCCTGGTCAAAGTTATAAGGTAAAGTTATCACTAAGATAAACACTTATTATTAGTGTTAGGTGCCATGGGAATGCAATTGTATCCTTGCAAGTTATTACTAAGATAAAGTAGTTGCACTTATTTACCTGAAATCATGTCTTCGCATCTGAAATCAATAGATCTGTAGAGATCAACCCGTGGGCTTGACAGGAAAAAACAAAGGAAGTCATAGTCCAGATCTGTCTGTATGTTTTGGATAGAGATATCAGCAGATGCACCATTTCCATTGAAATCGTTGGCATCAGGAGAATTTAAATTTTCCCGAAAAGAATTATACGGAACGCGAAAGGAAGACGGAGGAGATCCAGTTGTCTGCCAGGAAAACAAACGTATAAGTTTTAAAAGTGTAGAGACCTTTAAAAATGCATACAGTTCAGAATAAAACATTGACAGTTCTCCAGCCTATCAAGCAAGAAATCATTTATCTATAGGAGAAAGACAATCCAAAGAAACTCATTCAAAGAGACAACCATGCACTCAAGAAACTGGCCCTTTGACATAATCATGTCACTGAGGTTTTTCTTCCACGTCAGAGAGAAGAATAACAGACATATATTACTCAAGAAACGTTAAATTTTAAATCTATTAGTACATTTTAGGAATGATAAACAACATTCGAAGCTAATAATTGTCAAACCTTGAGAATCTCGAGGCTACGCCGTAGTCTGTACCAATCATTACGAGCTAAAGAACAGGCTTTTTGATCACCAGCATTGACCACGAACTCAACAGCTGCATCCCAGTTAAGTTCGGTTTGGAAATCAGCTAGCAACTCGTGTACCTCGGATATGACTTCTGGAGAAGGTTTCGGCACATCTGGCTTCCCATAAATAAACCTAACATTAACAAGAGCATGATAATAGTGAAATTAGACTCCCCAGTATAATTTGATCCCATTTAACAAGTACAAAAGGGCACTACACAAGTCTATAATCTCGTGCCATACCATCGCAGGTACAATCCAGTGCCACCAGTAACTATGGGAACACGCCCTCTACTAAGAATATCTTTAGTAGCTTGCCTTCCATCGTCGAAAAATTGCCCCACCGAGTAGTCTAATAAAGAATGAAAAATGTTAAGTTTCTGGATTTGCATACATGAGTATCACAAGCATTTTACATTTGTGAGATTCACAACATCAACAGAGTAGAAAGGAGAGCTGGAAAAACAAAACCTTGAGACGGATGCAAAATGTCGATAAGATGATGAGGCACCTCCTGAATAATTGTGTAAAACATAAGACAATCTGATCACAGCACCAACATCTTATCTTACCAAATGTTTTTCAAAAGGGATACCTTTCTATCGCTTGCGGATGGCTTAGCTGATCCAACATCGAGCCCTCGGTACACCTGTGCTCCGGAAAAACAAAGGAAGAAACTTTATTAATAACACAAAACATAGATACAAAGTTCTGAAATTGATCAAGCT